GGGGGTGATGGCAGTGCCCCCAGGGGTGGTGACAATGACCCCAGTGAGGTGACAGTGTCCCCAGGAGTGATGACAGTGTCCCCAGGGGGTGTCAGTGCCCCCAGTGAGGTGACAGTGTCCCCAGTGATGTGTCAGTGTCCCCAGGGGGTGCCAGTGCCCCCAGAGGGTGTCAGTGTCCCCAGTGATGTGTCAGTGTCCCCAGGGTGCTGACCTGCCACCACCATGGCCATGAGGAGGTCGGCGTGCGCGGAGCGGGAGCTGATGATGTGCTGCTGCAGCAGGAACTGCGCCACCTCCACCAGTGAGGTGTCAGTGTCCCCAGGGGGTGTCAGTGTCCCCAGTGATGTGTCAGTGTCCCCAGGGTGCTGTCAGTGTCCCCAGGGTGCTGACCTGCCACCACCATGGCCATGAGGAGGTCGGCGTGCGCGGAGCGGGAGCTGATGATGTGCTGCTGCAGCAGGAACTGCGCCACCTCCACCAGTGAGGTGTCAGTGTCCCCAGGGGGTGTCAGTGTCCCCAGTGATGTGTCAGTGTCCCCAGGGTGCTGTCAGTGTCCCCAGGGTGCTGACCTGCCACCACCATGGCCATGAGGAGGTCGGCGTGCGCGGAGCGGGAGCTGATGATGTGCTGCTGCAGCAGGAACTGCGCCACCTCCACGATGTTGTTGAAGGAGCGCTTGAGGATCTTCTCAGCCCAGTCACACGTCAGGGCACAGGCGGCCTCTGTCACCTCCGAGCTGTACGAGGGTACCAGCTCCGCCAGCTCCGCCTGTTGGGGACAGTCACAGTGTCACAGTGTCACCTCTGTCACATTGTCACCTCTGTCACCTCTGTCACCTCCGAGCTGTACGAGGGTACCAGCTCCGCCAGCTCCGCCTGTTGGGGACAGTCACAGTGTCACAGTGTCACCTCTGTCACCTCTGTCACCTCCGAGCTGTACGAGGGTACCAGCTCCGCCAGCTCCGCCTGTTGGGGACAGTCACAGTGTCACAGTGTCACCTCTGTCACCTCCGAGCTGTACGAGGGTACCAGCTCCGCCAGCTCCGCCTGTTGGGGACAGCAACAGTGTCACCTGTCACAGTGTCACATTGTCACACTGTCACAGTGTCACCTCTGTCACCTCTGTCACCTCTGCCACAGTGTCACCTCTGTCACCTCTGTCACCTCTGTCACCTCTGAGCTGTACGAGGGTACCAGCTCCGACAGCTCCGCCTGTTGGGGACAGCAACAGTGTCACCTGTCACAGTGTCACATTGTCACACTGTCACAGTGTCACCTCTGTCACCTCTGTCACCTCCGAGCTGTACGAGGGTACCAGCTCCGACAGCTCCGCCTGTTGGGGACAGTCACAGTGTCACAGTGTCACATTGTCACGTCTGTCACCTCTGTCACAGTGTCACCTCTGTCACCTCTGTCACCTCTGTCACCTCTGAGCTGTACGAGGGTACCAGCTCTGCCAGCTCCGCCTGTTGGGGACAGCAATAGTGTCACAGTGTCACCTCTGTCATGGTGTCACAGTGTCACCTCTGTCACATTGTCACCTCTGTCACAGTGTCACATTGTCACAGTGTCACCTCTGTCACCTCCGAGCTGTACGAGGGTACCAGCTCCGCCAGCTCCGCCTGTTGGGGACAGTCACAGTGTCACCTCTGTCACATTGTCACATTGTCACACTGTCACAGTGTCACCTCTGTCACCTCCGAGCTGTACGAGGGTACCAGCTCTGCCAGCTCTGCCTGTTGGGGACAGTCACAGTGTCACAGTGTCACAGTGTCACACTGTCACCTCTGTCACCTCGGTCACATCCCATAAAAAATCCCACAAAAAATCCCACAAATCCCATAAAAAATTCCATCAAAAATCCAATAAAAAATCCCATAAATCCCACAAAAAATCCAATAAAAATCCCATTAAAAAATCCCATAAATGCCATAAAAAAAATCCAATAAAAAATCCAATAAAAAATCCAATAAAAAATCCAATAAAAAATCCCATTAAAAAAATCACACAGAAATCCCATAAAGCTCATTAAAAATCCCATAAAAATCCAATAAAAAATCCCATAAATCCCATAAAAAATCTTAAAAAATCCCTAAAAAAAAATCCCACAAAAAATCCCATAAAAAATCTTTAAAAATCCCTTAAAAAATCCCACAAATCCCACTAAAAATCCCATAAAAAATCCCATAAAAAATCTTAAAAAATCCCATAAAAAATCCCACAAATCCCACTAAAAATCCCATAAAAAATATAAAGAAATCCCTAAAAAAATCCCCTAAATCCCACTAAAAATCCTATAAAAAATCCCATAAAAAATCTAAAAAAATGCCTAAAAACATCCCATAAATCCCATAAAAAATCCCATAAAAAATCTTTAAAAATCCCGTAAAAAATCTTAAAAAATCCCTAAAAAATCCCACAAATCCCATTAAAAATCCCATAAAAAATCACATAAAAAATCTTTAAAAATCCCATAAAAAATCCCACAAATCCCACTAAAAATCCCACAAAAAATCCCACAAAAAATCTTAAAAAATCCCATAAAAAATCTTTAAAAATCCCTAAAAAAATCCCACAAATCCCACTAAAAATCCCATAAAAAATCCCATAAAAAATCTTAAAAAATCCCCCCATAAAAAATCTTAAAAAATCCCTAAAAAAATCCCATAAATCCCACTAAAAATCCCATAAAAAATCCCATAAAAAATCTTTAAAAATCCCATAAAAAATCTTAAAAAATCCCTAAAAAAATCCCATAAATCCCACTAAAAATCCCATAAAAAATCCCATAAAAAATCTTTAAAAATCCCACAAAAAATCTTAAAAAATCCCTAAAAAAATCCCACAAATCCCACTAAAAATCCCATAAAAATTCCCATAAAAATTCCCAGAAATCCCCGGGATGGCAGCCCGGGAACGGCGGCGCACTCACGGTCTCGGTGGCTTTCAGGTCCAGGCTGGGCAGGGGAGGAAGGCTCACCACTGTCTTCCTCCGGATCCCCCCGTAGCAGTACGTGGGGAGGAAGAGTCAAGGATTTGGGAATTCCCAACCGGGATAAACGGAAAAAAAACCGGGAAGAACCCTCAGGAATGGGGGGAAAATGGGGGAAATGGGGAAAGAATGGGGGGAAATGGGAAAAGAATGGGGGAAAATGGGAAAAAAGTGGGGGAAAATGGGAAAAACTGGGAGAAAATGGGAAAAAAGTGGGGAAAAATGGGAAAAACTGGGAGAAAATGGGAAAAAAGTGGGGAAAAATGGGAAAAACTGGGAGAAAAATGGGAAAAAAGTGGGGGAAAATGGGAAAAATTGGGAGAAAATGGGAAAAAAGTGGGGGAAAATGGGAAAAACTGGGAGAAAATGGGAAAAAAGTGGGGAAAAATGGGAAAAATTGGGAGAAAATGGGAAAAAAGTGGGGGAAAATGGGAAAAACTGGGAGAAAATGGGAAAAAAGTGGGGAAAAATGGGAAAAAATTGGGGGAAAACTGGGGGAAAAGTGGGGGAAAATGGGAAAAAATTGGGGGAAAATGGGAAAAATTGGGAAAAAATGGGAAAGAATGGGGAAAACTGGGAAAGAATGGGGGAAAGTGGGAAAAAATGGGAAAAGAATGGGAAAAAATGGGAAAGAATGGGGAGAAGTGGGAAAGAATGGGGAAAAGTGGGAAAAAATGGGAAAAGAATGGGAAAAAATGGGAAAAATGGGAAAATAATGGGAAAATAATGGGAAAATAATGGGGAAAAACTGAGGAAAAACAGGATAAATGGAAAAAAAAAACAAAATAGGGGAAAAGCTGGGGAAAATGGAAAAAAAAACAGGAAAAAAAACAGGAAAAAAACCCTGGGAAAAAACAGGAAAAAAAAAAGAGGAAAAATGGGGAAAAAAAACAGGGAAAAGCTGTGGAAAATGGGGAAAAAACGAGAAAAAAACCAGGAAAAAAAGGGAATAAAAGGGCAAAACCAGGATAAAACGGGAAAAGCAGCAGGAATTGCAGCAGGGGAAGGATATTTGGATTGTCCTCGGCCTCCCAGGCGCCGGGCTTTGATGTTTGGGAAGATTTCCCGGATGATTTTGCCGAAATTGGCCGTGCTCAGGGGGCGGCAGCCGAGGTTGTCACAGTAACGCCTGAGAGAGGGATGGGGGAGAAAAGGGGGAAATCCTGGGGTATTCCAAGGGAATTCCAGTGGGACGTGGGATCTGGGATATTTGGGATGTGGGATCTGGGATGTGGGATTTGGGATGTGGGGTTTGGGATTTGGGATATGGGATTTGATATTTGGGATTTGAGATTTGGGGTTTGGGATTTGAGATTTGGGGTTTGGGATTTGGGATATGTGATTTGATATTTGGGATTTGGGATATGGGATAAGGGATATTTGGGATTTGGGATGTGGGATGTGGGATTTGGGATATGGGATAAGGGATTTGGGATAAGGGATATGGGATTTGATATTTGGGATTTGAGATTTGGGGTTTGGGATTTGGGATATGGGATATGGGATATTTGGGATTTGGGATGTGGGATTTGGGATGTGGGATATGGGATGCAGGATTTGGGATATGGGATATTTGGGATTTGGGATGTGAGATTTGGGATATGGGATTTGGGATATTTGGGATTTGGGATGTGGGACATGGGACACCAGGCTATGGGACACCAGGACACCAGGCCATGGGGACACCAAGCCATGGGACACCAGGCCATGGGGACACCAGGACACCAGGCCATGGGGACACCAGGCCATGGGGACACCAGGCCATGGGGACACCAGGACACCAGGCCATGGGTCACCAGGCCATGGGGACACCAGGCCACCAGGCCAGCAGCCCATGTGCCACAGCCCCTGGGCTCACTTGTAGGCGTCGTAGACGTCCT